CCGTCCCGGGGGAGGGCCGGCCCCGCCGGGCCCCTCCGAGGCCCGGCTGCCCGGCCGCCATCCACTAGGGGTGGCGGTTAGGAGTAGACCCGCTACCTCCTTAGTTGGGGGACGGAGAAGAGCCCGGACCCCCCCGATCACGGGGCTGAGGACGGGATGGCCCGGTCGTCACCCACTAGGGGTGGAGGCTTGGAGTAAACCCCGACCCCTCCGTAGCTGGAGGAGGGAGAAGAAAAGGATCCCGAAGCGCGAGCAAGGTGAGGATGACGGAGAAACCCCAGTTCCTCCATAGCGGAGGACGGAGGCGATCCTGGCCCCCTCATTAAAGTGAGGAGGATGGAGGCTCGGTGCTCTCAAATGGAAAGATGAGACCCCACAAGAGGAGACAGACAGAAACCCGCTTCCCCCGTTGGCAGGAGGACGGAGATTCCCTGGCTCTCACTCTACCAGGGTGAGAAGGATGCAGACCTCCCCGATCATCTAGCGGGGTGAGGGGGACAGGGATACTTCCCCAGAGCCCCTTCAGGCATGCTCCGGGCCGAGAGGGACAGAGACCTGTTGAGCATCCCCCAGGCTCCGGGCAACTTAAATTTGGCAGAAATAATTTTACATGTTTACAAAGCATTTCATGCTTTGCCTGATGATGACTCTCCCAAGGAATCCCTTGAGATGAAAATGAAACCAATTATTTGTGAAACAAATCACAATCCCCCTCCAGCCCTCCCCTGGGTGAGGAGTAGGGACAGCCCGGGCTTGTCCCCATCCCTGTCATACAGGGGGAGTGCTGGGGGGTCTCTACCCCTGTATTGGGGGCTATGAGGGTGATTTGTCTTTCTCCCCTCGGGGATTCCAGTGCCCCTGGGGCTGTGGGAGATGCTTCTGGGGTTTAGGATGAAGGTGTGTCTATAGCTGTCATGCTGGGGGATTCTCAGGAGGTCGCCCCAATTAAAGCAGGGAGATGGGGGCTGGGGGTTCTCAGGATGTCACCCCCTTAAAGGAGGGAGACAGGACCGTCTGACCCCCCAGTTATGGGTGGAGGTCCCTGGGCCTCCTTAGATCTGTGATAGTTGGAGAGCCCCTCCAACTCCCCAGCATGAGAGTGACAGACACCCTAGACCTCCCAAACATTTCCCAAAGTCAGAGGGACGGGCTTTGAACTGAGCATCTTGGAGCCACTGGCTGAATTAAGATTGCCAGGCAGCAAAATCAACAGCAGATAAGATAATTTGGCTGATAATTAATTTGGCTGATAATTAATTTGGCTGATAATTAATTTGGCTGATAATTAATTTGGCTGATAATTAATTTGGCTGATAATTAATTTGGCTGAGCTTGAGTCTCTCAACGAGGCACTTACAATGAAAATGCAACCAAAGCACAAACCCCTGGTCTTCCCCCAGGGCGGGGAGCACCGGACAGCCAGAGATCTCTTCCATCCCTATCACACTTGGGGAATTGTTGAGCCTTGAAGTGATGGCCAGGCTTCAAGGCTCCAATGGGTTAAGAGGCACAGGGACACCCTCCCTGAGTCTCTCTAAGGTCTCCTCCAGTGTGAGAGGGACAGAGACCCCTCGAGCATTCCCCGGGCTCTGGATGAAATAAAAATAAAACCGACAGAGGTGTGACAACGCATAACGGGCTTGGACTGATTATTTATTAAAGTGTGAAAAAGGTCAAATCTAAAGAGTGCTATGGGTTTTGTTTAATGGGAAATGTCAGGTTGAGGGAGGTGGAAAGAGAATGGGTGGGGGGGGGAAGCGAGAGAGTGGCAGAGAGATAAAAGTAGAAATAGCCAGGGATGATTCTCAGCACAGTTCTGGGCTTGGCTTTTTTGATTCATTCTTCCTCAGCCTTATGCTGCCAGAATGGGCAAAAAGTCCTTCCTGGGAATGGCTAAGGATTTGGGAAGGGACTGGGATGGGGCTTAAGAGTTGGAATTGGATGTAAGGTTACGGTTAAACGTGGGCTATGGTTTAGGGCTGCGGGTTTAGGAAGGAGCTGGAATTGAGGCTGGGTTTGGGGTCAACATTAATCCAGCCCCATTTCTGGGGTGCCCAGACTCGGGAGCAGGGGTCTCTGGGGGTCCCAAACACATTTCTAGTGGTCCTAAGCCCAGGGGGAGGGGTTTCTGGGGTGCCCAGACCTATAGGGTGGAGGGGTCGTTGTTGGGAACTTTTAGACCTACCTGTTGCCTTCCCGCTTGTTAATAAAGCATTGTTATCTCTTCACATTCATTTCTTACTGAGGGAAAGGGATTGTTGGAATCCTGAAGAAGGGTAACTCAGGCCATTAAGTTCTGCTGTCAATTTTCTCTTACACCAGGATGATGACAGATTCATCACTTGCCTCACGTGCAGGGATCCCAACCCCATGTCTGGGGGTGCCCAGGTGCACGGGATGGGGTCTCAGGGGGGCCGAGACCCATTTCTGGTGGTCCCAGGCCCATGGGGTGGGGTCTCTGGGGGTGCCCAGGCGCACGGGGGCGGGGTCTCTGAGGGTCCCAGCCCCGTTCCAGGGGTGCCCATGTGCATGGAGAGCCGTCTCTGGGGGCCTCAGCCCCATTTTTGGGGGTCCCAGGCCCTGTCTTGGCCCGCCCCCGCGTGGGCGTGGCCATAGCAACAAGGCTCAAAGCGTAGCCACGCCCCCTCTGCGAGGTTTCCGCCCCTTCCCGGAGCTCTCGCGAGAGTTGGTGGCGCGGGCGGGTCCCATCAGGAGCCACCGCCGGTCCCTCAGCGCAGCCCGGCTCGGCTCGGCTCGGCTCGGCTCGGCTCGATCCGCTCCCAAAGCCCTTCCCTCTCCCTCAGCCCTTCCTGCTCCCTCATCCCGGCCTCTCGTCCTTCCGTCCGCTCTCTCAGCCCTTTCCTCTCCCTCAGTCCGTTCCCTCAGCCCTTCCTGCTCCCTCAGTCCGTTCCCTCTGCCCTTCCCTCAGCCCTTCCCGCTCCCGCATCCCGGCCTTTTCCTTCCGCCCGTTCCCTCAGCCCTTCCCGATCCCCCATCCCTCTCCCCTTCCCTCTCCCTCATCCCCTTTCCTCTCACTCCGTTTCCTCTCCGCTCAGCTCTGCCTGCCCCATCTCGCCATGAGCTTCCTCTTGTGAGTGTCCGGGCTGCCCTCAGGGGAGGGTCCTTAGGGCGGCCCCGAGGGGCTTCAGCGGAGGGAAAAGGCCCGTGGGAAGGGGCTGGGGGAGGTTATTGGTGGGGGAGTCGTTTATGGAGGAATGGAGGGTTGTTCTTTGAGGGGGTTGAGGGGGTGAAGGGATTCGCGAGGAGAGTGCAGGGCTTTGAGGGGAAGATTTGGGGACTTCAGGAGCTGAAGAAGGCACAGGAGGGCACTTTGGGGAAGGTTTAAGTGGAGTGGTTTGTGCTTGGGCGGGTTCCTGAGTGTGTGTGGAGAGGGGAAGCCCTTGAAGAGAATCCTCGTGAGGGAATGTACAAGGAAAGGTTTCCTCAGCTGTGGGGAAACTGACAGGACCAAAGAAAACAGCCACAAGTTGCACCAGGGGACGTTTAGATTGGATTTGAGGGGAAATTTCTTGGCTGCAAGGGTTGGAAAGGCTGCCCAGGGCAGCGGTGGAGTCCCCATCCCGGAGGGTGTCCCAAACACGGGTGGATGTGGCACTCGAGCAGTGGTGACCGTGGGGACGCTGCTGTGATGGCCTCAATGATCGCGGGGATCCTTTTTTCCAACCATACCGATTTCACGATTCTGTGGCAAACTGGAAATGCTTCTCCCCCTCCTCAGTGGGAGCCGCTCTTCAAAAACATTCAAGCCAAAGAAGAACATTCCGGAAGGATCCCACCAGTATGAGCTCCTCAAACACGCTGAGGCCACGCTGGGCAGCGGCAACCTGCGGCAGGCCGTGATGCTGCCCGAGGGGGAGGACCTCAACGAGTGGATTGCTGTCAACAGTGAGTTCTCTGAGAGAGGGAAAACCCCAAAACCTCGGGGTTTATCCTCAAACAAACCCCTGAATTCCCCATGCTGGGGTGGCTGAGGTGGGATAAAAGCAGCGGAAGCAGGGCCCACGTCAGGGAGGTGTTGTGCAAGGAGGAAGAGACAAAGCTGCACCAAAGCTGCACCGTTGTGGTTTTGGGGTGGGTTTTTAGCAGTTCAGGCTCACGGAGGGGGATTTTGATTTGTGAATATTTTGGGAGTTAGAAAATCAGCATCATCGGCTGTAAAAGCTGCAGCATGAATGATCCATGGAGAAAGTAGAGCTCCATTTCCCCCAAACTCCAGGATTGTGGAGTTTCTTTTTTTGTTTTCTGTTTTCAGATCCAATTTGGTTTGAGCAGCTGCTCCCCCTGGCCTTCACCTTTGCAGCTTTGGAGGTTAGAGAGAGAAAAAAGTAATTTCGAGCAAGGAATGTAGAGATTCAGGCCAAGAGTGCTCAGCCTGAGGAAGGTCTGTCCTGTATTACCAAATCCATCAGGTTCTTGAAGAAGCTGAACCTACTTTTTCCACGGAATGCTGAGTAGAACTGAGGGTGAAAAATGGGCAAATCAATGCAAATCCCTGGATGGCTGAAATGTCTGGAAGTTGGGTGATGTTGTAGAGGAAGGTTTCGGTTTTGCCAAGACTTTAGTGGGACACCTGGGAGGTGCTGCAGCCTCGCTGAGCTCACACCTGGCTCACCCCAGGGCGCTTTCCCTTTGCAGCCGTGGATTTCTTCAACCAGATCAACATGCTGTATGGGACCATCACGGAGTTCTGCACCGAGAGCAGCTGCCCTGTCATGTCTGCAGGGCCCAGGTGAGGGGCAGGCAGAGCTGGAAAAAGGAGAAGAGAAGGGAGCTGGAAAAAGGATGGGACATGTCCAGGTGGGATCGAGGTGCCACGTTTTGCTCGTCTGTTCTCATTTATGGTCACTCCATCTGGGTGTGTCTTTTTTTTTCTCATCCTTCCCTGAATTTGGAAGCTGGCGAGAGGTCTGGTTTAACTGGGAGGGACTGGTCTTGCTGGCAGTCTGAAGGAATCCTGGAATGGTTTGGTTTGGAAGGGACCTTAGATCCCATCCAGTCCCATGGACAGAACAGTTCCCACTATCCCAGGCTGCTCCAAGCCATGTCCAAGCTGGCCTGGGACACTTCCAGGGATGTGGTGAATTTTTAGGAGGCACATTTAATCAGCTTTTAATTTAATTTAATAATTAATAATTTAATTTTAATACTTTAATAATTTAATTTTCATTTTCTCATGTGGTGGCACTGCTCTGTGGGAGAAGGTTGGGGCAGGTGGGAAGTAGAGAGTGAACCCTTTTTGGGGCCACCTGGTTGATTTTAGGTGTGAATTCCTGCAGGGATGCCAGGGTTGGTTCTGCACTTGTGTATTTTGCCAGGGCAAAGCCACAGCTGGGAATCCTCTTCAGGAGGTTGCCAAGGCTCTCAGTTCGTGGGCCCAGCACCCTGTGGGTGCTGTGGGTCTCTCCTACCCCGCAGGATCTGCTCTGCCAGTTCCTGCCTCTATTTTTGGGGCTGTTTCCTGTCACAGCTTCCTGCTCGTTTGCACTGGTGCCCGGGTGATAAACAGAGAGGGTTTTGCTGCTTTTCAAGGATCTTGTAAAACATCTCTGAGTTCAGGGGCCTGTGTTGTTGTGGGGTGATCCCAGGGTCTGCCCTGGGATCTAGAGGCTGTGGGAGAAGTTCTGTGTGGCCCAAATTGCTGGATCTGAAAGCCACTGAAGGGAATTAATCCAGGGAAGGGTGATGATGGCCCTGGTGCTCCTTTGGTCAGCTTTTGGCTCGTTTTAAGGAAATGATGATGTCAGAGGAGGCTGCCACACAGCTGAGGTCATTTTTAACATTTGAGGGGCACTGCAGATCTCTGGGAGCAGGGACAGCATCGGATGGAATGGCTGGAGCTGTTCCAGGGCAATTTGGGATGGAGATCAGGGAAAGGTTCTTCCCCCAGAGGCTCCCCAGGGAATGGGCACAACCTCGAGACTTCCAGAGCTCCGGGAGCATTTGGACAGTGCTCCCAGGGATTGCTGGGGGTCTGTGCAGGGCCAGGGCTGGATTGATGATCCCAGTGGATCAGGATATTCCAGAACTGAGGCTAAAACCGGTCAGCCCTGACCATTGGCTCAGGAAATAGCTTGTTTAGCTAAGCTCTGCTCTCCTCAGCCCTGAGCAACTCGGGCATTGCTCCAGGGCCCGAAATCCCATTTTTCCTGTGGGAGCCAGGGCTGAATCCCCTCCCCCAGGTACGAGTACCACTGGGCCGATGGCACCAACATCAAGAAGCCCATCAAGTGCTCAGCGCCCAAGTACATCGATTACCTGATGACGTGGGTGCAGGACCAGCTGGATGACGAGACCCTCTTCCCTTCCAAGATCGGTGGGTGCAGCTGTGTGCCCTGGGACGGCCCCTCCTGGCTGAGCCACGCCCTGACCCCTGCCTGTCCCTGCCTTCCAGGCGTTCCCTTCCCCAAGAACTTCATGTCGGTGGCCAAGACCATCCTGAAGCGGCTGTTCAGGGTCTACGCCCACATCTACCACCAGCACTTCGACTCGGTAATGAGGCTGCAGGAGGAGGCTCACCTCAACACCTCCTTCAAACACTTCATCTTCTTCGTGCAGGTGAGCTGGGAGGGACTGCACCTTCCCTCTTGGCTTTTGGATTGAAACTTCCAAGATGTCTGGTGGTAACACTCAACTCCCCCTCCATACCCACCCCTTTGTGGTGTTGGGCTTTTGTAGGGTTTGATTTTTTTTGTTGTTGTTGGCTGTAAGTGCTCAAATTTCCCTCTGGGGTTTTAATTACCAATCTGCAGCCAACAAAAACAGAATTGGAGGAGAATTCAGAGGGTTTGTAGCTTAGGAATCGACTTGGAAGGAGCAGCACCAGCACCTTTTTTTTTTTTTAAGTTTTCGAGCCTGTTCTGTGACTTGCTGTGCACAGCAACGTGGCAGAAGTTTTGCTGCCCTGAAATTAGATTTCTCCACAAGAAACAGGAGCAGTGCTGGTCCCAGGAGCCACGTGCAAGGTGACCAGCAGCTTTTTCCAGCTTCCTTCCCTTCCTGTGTCTCCTTATCTCCTGCCAGGAGTTCAGCCTGATCGACAGGCGGGAGCTGGCTCCTCTGCACGAGCTGATTGAGAAGTTGGGCTCCAAGGACAGATAAAACCCCCCGGGAGGACCCTTCTGGCCGCTCCTTTTCTGCTTCTTCAGCCACCTCCACGCTTGGCTCCAGAGACTGGACAGCACCGAGTGGCCTCAGTGCTGCTGCACAGGCCCTGCTGGGCTGGGTGGAGGTGGAGCAAGTTCTGTCCTGCACTGGAGCAGGTTCTGTTCCAGCTGCTGCCCAGAGCTCCTCTCTGGACTCTCCAGCCCAAGAGCACACCCGGAGCAGCTCAGCTTATTTTTGGGAGCGCTTTTTTTTTTGTTTGGGTTTTTTCTGGATAAAAGAGGTGCACTTTGGCCCAGAGCCTTAAGCTCCCCGTGGGGGGTGAGGAGAAGTGCCTGGCCCCAGTGTGGGCTGTCCCTGTCCCCTGTCCCTGGGTGGGAGGAGCAGCTCTGGCATGTCCCACGGGTCCCTCCTGTGTGGCAAAGGCAATAATAATAAACTTTCTTCCTGCTCTTCTTTCAGAGGAAGAAGGGCTTCTCCTCTTCTTGCACCCTCCCACGGGGCTCTGATTGAACACACAACACGGGATGGGATTCACCCCCAGGGGGACAGCCATGGGCCCCTCCTGGAACTCTTTATTGGTGCTGGGAGCAGCCTCAGGGCTTGGGGGCTGAGGTGAAGATGCGAAGGCCGTGCATGTGCTTGATCTCCTCGCTCAGGGCCTGCAAGGCAAGCGCAGCTCTCAGGGGCAGCTCTGGGCCTGAACCTGCACCCTCAGCCCCACGGGACTGGAGCTGCTGGGATCAGATAAAAAGTGTGGCCCTTGTGCAAAGTCACACACAGAATTCCCAGTGCTGCGTGTGCACAGACCAGACCCTGCAGGGTTTTCTGCACCGAATCCAAAGAGCTTGGGGACCCTACGCAACTCCCCAGTACTGTTGTGCCCCCAGAGAGTGCTCAGACACTGCCCAGGCTCCCCAGGGAATGTGCGCAGCCCCAGAGCTCCAGGAACATTTGGACACTGCTCCCAGAGAGGGGTTTTGGGGTGTCTGTGCAGGGCCAGGATTGATGGGTGCTTGACACCCATTCCATCTGCTCATGCTCCCTCTCTCCCGTTCCCTCTCTCCTGCTCCCTCACAGCCGTTCCCTCTCTCCCATTCCCCCTCTCCAGTTACCTCACACCTATTCCCTTTCCCCTTTCCCTCTCTCCCGTTCTCTCTCTCCCATCCCGTGCCCCAGGGCAGCCCCCAGAGCCCCCTGACCTGGTTCACCATCTGGTGCTGCTGCACCGTGCGCTTCTCCCGGAACTCCTCTGACTCGATGTGAATCTCGTACATGGCGCCGCAGCCTCCTGAGAAATTCCAGTCAGTTCAAGGCAAAGCTTGAGCCAAAGTGAGGCCCCTCCGTGCCCTCACACTCCGGAGCCCTCTGGGGGTCCCGCAGCCGGGAGGGGCTGGGCTCTGGCGGGAGTGTCTGAGGACAATCAAAGCTTTTCCTTACCTGAGATATCCACCACCTTGATGGCCGATGCCCGCGGGAACTTCTCCCGCAGCACCCGCGCCAGCCGCGACTCCCCGTCCGTCTGAGAGGCGAAGCCGCGCCAGGAGCGGCAGCGCAGCAAGAGCTGGGGGGCGAAACAGCCCTGAGGAACCCGGGGGGACCCCAAAAACAGCGGGGAGAAGGGAAGGGAAGGGAAGGGAAGGGAAGGGAAGG